CCCACGTGTAGCAGGAAGGGAGGGAAATCCCCGCAGTAAAAATACCGACCTCCCCAGGAATCCTGGGTTTTTTTCTGATTAAAAAAACAAAACAACACCCAATTTTCAGTTAAAGTGACTCCAAAACCACATTTTTCTGCGATTTAAATGAAATGCTACTAACATATAGATAAGTATACGTCGGGGTTTCGTTTTAATCATGGAAAAATGTGCATTAGGGGTTACCGAAAATTGGGTTTTTTTTTTTTTTTTAAATCGGAGCAAACCAGGATCCCTGGTCACATCGCTATGCCTTGAGTCGTCTTCGATCAGTGGCCGCCCAGTCTCCTCTTGAATGTTTCCAGTGATGGAGAGTCCACAGTGTCCCTCTGGGGCGTCTGGTCCTCTGCCTCACGGCTCTTCACAGCGAAGTTTTTCCGGGTGGCCCAGCTAGGCTTATTTTCCTGCAGCGTCGAGTGATGCTTGTCCTGCTGAGGTGCTTTCCCTCTTCTCTATGGCAGCCCTTTACGTATTTGAAGACTGCTACCGTGTCCTTTTTTAAGCTTTTTCCGGCAAGCTGAACATGCCCAGCTCCTTCAGCCTGTCCTCGTATGATTTGTTTTCCAAGCCTGACCCCAGTTGTCTTTCCTGCCCAGTGCAGGGGGCTGGACCCGACGACCTTGCAAGGTCCTGTCCAGCTCGTTACAATTTATGAATAGCCCTTTATCTTCTTTGTTGCCTGCCACTGAACCGCCTCTAACTTCTTCACGTCCTTTTTCTCTCTCCAGCTCATGGCATTTGTGGCAGAGGAGCGGCAGCGTCACACGGTTTACCCGCCCCCGGAGCAGGTCTTTACCTGGACGCAGATGTGCGACATCAAAGACGTGAGTGCAGCAGGGGAGGCCGGGCTAAATGTCCGAGGTTCAGACACGGCACTAGGCCCAGCTGCTGCGTGCTGATCCATAGCCCATTGGGGAGTGGGGGGCGGGCTCTCGCGGCCGGCTGCCCAATGGGCAGGGCGTGGCGGCGTCACGTGGGGGCAGAAGCGGTGTTTTGCTGCGAAATGGCCGCGTGCGTGCGCGGGCCCCGCCATGGCGCTGGCGGTCCCCCTGTGGTGTGAGGCCAACCCCTGCGCTGGATTTGGTACCTAGGATTGGTGCATGGGTGTGATTATTAGGCCTGCTGGCCTTGACTGCACGCTGGCCCAACACCATGCCTGGATCTGGCCCTACACTGGCATGATCTAGCCTGCAAGGCTGTGTCATCCAACCTGCAGGACTCCCCACAGGTCTGGAAATGTGGCGGCAAGGGAGCTGCAGTTAATGCTGCCACTGTTCCCCCATTTCCAAATGTTCAGACCTGCGGGGAAACCCGCTGCCTTACGGGCTGGATGTGTCCCACAAGTTAAGCAGCTCTTCCTGATGATGCCAACATTGTTCCTGTCCCATCTAGGATTCAGCCTGTTTCGCTTCCTGAGATATTGAAATAGGGGCTTGTGGCATGATGGCAAGATAGTGCTGTCACTGGCCTCTTCACCTGTGTTTCTTGACCCCCGCCCCTGCACTTTCAGATGTAGCACTTGCAGACTTTGTGTATTTTGCTTTTTAACATCATGCACCTGACAGATTCAACCGTGAAGGTTCAGGTGCAGGATTTTAGGGTGGTACCTTCCTAAATGCTTGAGCTGCCGGTTAGCAGCTGGCACATCTTCTGGAATAAATTTATCTGAAAAAAGTGTTAATCAGACCTTAAAATATGGAAATCTTACAAGATCACTGAACTGCTGAACTGTTGACTCATCTCCACGTTTGTCATAGAAATTTTTGGTGATGCTGCTTCTTCAAGCTTCAAAAATAAACTTAACTTCAAAACTTATTCATCAGGCAGGCAGTGCTTTAACTTCAGGTGTTAGGGGGATTTGAGACACTTGTTTGTTTAGTTATCTGTAGTTCTGCTTGTTGTAGATTACAGTAATTCTGTCCTGACAGACTGTACACTTTGGACATTGTTGTGAAATCGGGTATTGAAGAAATGCTGCTGCGTTCTCAGTGCTAACTTGTGTCTATGTTCAGGTAAAAGTTGTCATCTTGGGGCAAGATCCCTACCACGGACCCAACCAAGCTCATGGACTCTGCTTTAGTGTTCAGAAGCCTGTTCCACCTCCACCCAGGTAGGATTATACTTTCTCTATTTTGAACACTGCCTTTGTTTGCTGCGCTAGGTTATTATAGCCATAATCACAAACTGGTCAAGGTTTTGTCTTTGACTGCCATTGAGGTAATTTAATATGTGACTTGCTGTGATAGGATCTTTGTAACGGACTGCATATTCCAAAGACCCAAGTCTAATCTGGCAACAGTAGGTTTTGTCCATGCAGATATAGTTATAGTTATAATATGGGGATGCTAGAGAAGAAAAAGCCTGTAGTCTGACCCATGGAAGCACAGCTGTCATCTTGATGTGTACATGCTTTTTTTTTTTTTTAATTGCACTTGCTTGCATTTGAATTTGCTTAATCTCCATCCCTGTTCTCGCAGAATGCGAGTCGGACCATGGACTCTGTTCAGGGCCCAGACCTGCAAGCCTGAGCTCCACACGTTTCTATTGAAATTTTTTTCTTGTGGAAATCATCACTTTTTTTTTCAATGGTTTTTGTTTTTGCAGTTTGGAAAATATTTACAAAGAGCTTTCAACTGATATTGAGGACTTCACCCATCCCGGCCATGGGGACCTAACTGGATGGGCCAAGCAAGGTAATCCATCAATTTTGCCCCTTTGATTCTTGCAAGATGGGGAGTCTGTCTTCAGTGAGTGGGTGGTTGCAGCCATGTTGAAGTAGAGATGCTGGCGTTTTCCAAAGTGCTTGACTCAGGTCTGTTTAAAAAGCATAACTGAACATGGCCTTTTAATACTCATAAAAGGGTTAAATAGCAGTGAACAGAAGCATGTAAATATTGAGCATGTTCTTAAGCACGTTCTTAATCAATCATAAGTCTGTGAAATTGCCTGTCTATTTTCTCTCTCTGTAGCATACACACAATGTTGGTCCTTTCTTAAACTGAAAAGTCTCTTATTTTTTGTATTCTTAAGATACTATAAATAGATGCATTCTCCTACAAGCCTGGCAAAATTCTCCTTATTTGGGTGAATAGTTCTGATTAGTCAGTGAATTGATGTTCATTTTTTTTTTCCATGTATAATGATGAGTATGAGCTGACATGCCTGAAGGTTCATACATTTTGTAAGGCTAAAGCCATTCGTTAAAAAAGCATACAGCTTAATTTTAATGATTCATCATGTTACAGTGCACCGATGGCTCTGGGCGGTAATTTTTGCCTTGGACTTAATGTGATCTCCATGTAGTATTAATTGTATTGACTCAGCAACCTCTTGACAGATTTACTTGTGTAGGCTTGCCATCTAGAAGCTCTTTACATCAGGTGCATATTTCTTTACATTAATTTCTTCACAGCTTGTTGTTTTCCTTTCTTCTACAAATGAATTGTTTGAACTCCATTCTTGGTATCTGCCATTTACCTGTTCCCTTGAGAATAACATTAAAAAAAAACCAAACACATTCAAGTGACTTTCTTATCAGGAGACCAACAGGACGAGAGATTAAAACTGGGTTAACTGTTCTGTGCTTTCTTTGTGCCTGTGTTAACGTGCGGCTATCCCCTTTGCGAGTAGGGGTACTTCTGCTCAATGCTGTCCTCACGGTCCGAGCACACCAAGCTACTTCCCATAGGGAGAGGGGCTGGGAACAGTTCACCGATGCAGTGGTGTCCTGGCTGAACGAGAATTTGAATGGACTCGTCTTCATGCTGTGGGGATCTTATGCACAGAAGAAAGGGAGCTCCATTGACAGGGTATGACTTAACGCTCTGGTCTTTTTTCATTAGGGGAAAGGGTGTTTCTGTAGAGCGTGCTACATGTAGGACTTCTGGTCCCTTGAATGGGGAAAAAAAGAGCCTGCTGCAGCATATTACAAAATTAAGTGCGTAGATATCTAGGATCTTGAGATGGGCTGAGCTTGACCAATTCTGTGGCCTCTCTCTGTTCCAAGAGAGCCTTGGAAGGAAGGCAAAGTAATATATTACTCTATAAAGAGCCTCTGCATCCTGACTTCTATCTTATCTCACCTGTATTATAATTATAATCTCACCTGTAATTAGAAATGCAGTTGCTTACTGAGCACAGAGAGCCTAGTTTTTAGGACAAAAATTAAAGCGTCTATCTTTGGTAATAACACAGTGAGGCAGCCTGCATCCAAAAGCTGCAAAGATGAATGTGCCTAATTTAACAGTTTTGTACCATCTCCAACCTCTTCCAGAAACGCCACCACATCCTGCAGACTGCCCACCCCTCTCCGCTGTCTGTGTACAGAGGCTTCTTTGGCTGCCGTCACTTCTCCAAGACAAACGAATTGCTGAAGATGTCTGGCAAGAAGCCTATTGACTGGCGAGCGCTCTAAGCTGCAAGCGTGAACTTGGGGGAAGGGAGGCTTGGTGATGTCAATCAGTCCCTGTTTTCAAGGGTCATCCTATCCTGAGAATCTTTTTTTGGATGCTGCTCTGTTGGATAAACGGAAGGGCCTAATGTGAAGAAGTTCCAGTTCTTTAGTATCTACTTTTATGTACTGTATGAGTAAGCAAACTTGAATTCAGTGTGATGTACCGGTTTTTGGACTGCTGTTTAGCAGAAATCTGAATCTAATCTTGAACCAGGAAAACACCGAAGGGTGTATTAATGGTGGCTCATTGACCTAATAGGGCTGTATTCAGGCCTTTTTTTAATGAACTGGTTGGGATTCTTGTATGTTTAAACCCATCAGCAATTTGACTCCTGCAAGTGAAAGCCCATCTCAGCAATATTTTTCCTCGCTTCCCTGTTTGGAAATCCATATTTTAGGTTTTGGGAGGGGGAGAAGCACCTTTCTTTAGCAAGAGAAGCTAAAAATAAGCCATTATTTTTTTTTGCTATAATCTGTTTCTTCTGGTTGGAAATATGCCGACATCTTGAAAGTGATAACATTTATTCTTTCTCAGGAAGTTTGACAGGATCTGTGGTGTTTTTAAGTATACGTCTGAGTTCCTTGAGGAATCTGTGTCCCTTCAGGGAAATTAATCAAACGTTTTTGGGTGGGGGGGCTTATGTGCAACATGCACTTGTTTAATATTCCAAGGGAAATTGACAGTTGCATCCTTTTAATTGCCACAAAATCTTGACTAGTGAATATTCTGAGATCAGTTGGTGTGTTCATCGCCTATGTACACACTTGGTGACAACGACTGAACTACAGAATGATTTAGTAAGAGAGTTACAACCCCTTTTAGGCTACAGCTGGGGGAAGGGAATGAGAAGACCTCCTTAATTTGCAATAAAACTAGAACTCCCTGCATGTAGATTTGGGTCTAGCTTTTGCATAGTCAGAAAAAAATCCTGCCTGGTCCTGAAAGAGCGTAAGTGTTTTCCATATTTTTCTTTTATATTTTCTTACCTACGCTTGCCTGTCTTCCAGCAGCAATGCCAGTTTTTTTTCACTTAAACTGGTGTGAGGTTTTAGAGGAACCTGCAGTTAGGCAGCATGTTACAAAGGGTGGTGGGAATTTGTTTGAAGTCATCATTCAATATCTTGCTGGCTTGAGAAATGGGTTTGCATGTATGGATTGAGCGCCATCAAATCTTGCTCAGTTAAAGTTTGAGTTTTCAGTGTGGGAGAGAGTTTGCTTCACTAAAATCTGCAGGAGGGTGGGTCAGCTAGTTCAAAGCAGATTATCGGAGTCTCTTCCTTTATTATGTGAATGCTTGCATGAACTAATGCAGCAAGCACTTCCCAACGATCTGTTGCAGCAATCGATGCTCCTCTTGCAAAGCGAATGGCAGAACTTCCACTTGTGTCAATAGTAAAAATATTGATTCTCAGGTTTCCAGTATTGCTGAATTGTCAGTAATACCTCTTTTAGCTCTAGTTAATTAGAAGAAAGAGTTGTTTTTGCCTTTCTGTGGAGCTGCATGACTTCTTTTGATGCCATACTAGTACATTTTAGTGCCTCTATAGGAAAAAGCTATTTTTGAATCTCTGTTCTAGTAGGTAACACTAGCAAAAATGAAAAAGTTCTGTGTTTCTTTGTATGTACTGTGCAAAGGGAGCTTGTTGTTTTATTTTGTTTTTAAATAAATGGCTACTGTTTTTGTGTTTGTACTGGAATCTTTTATTCAGTTTGCCCACGTCAAGTTCCTCTTACCCGAAATAATATGTTCTGTTACCACAAATATAAAAAAACTTGGAAAACAGTCATTTTCCTTTTGACAGAGTATGGGGTCTCCGTTCCGTTTTGCCTTTCTACTTATCCCTTCTTTCAACATGTGCTGTGCTTTTTTATTTGTGTTCATTGGCGAAGCTACTATGAAATGTAGCCAAAGAAAACCTAGCGCCTGAGCCTGCTCCACGTAACGCAGGGGAACCAGAGTATTCCCTAAATCAGTGGTTCTCCACCTTTTCAGACTGGTGTTACCCCTCAGCTGACTCGGGGCACCCCTTGGCAATAGCCAGCATATCCTGGAGAAGGTGAGGTGGAAGAAAGACCCCAGAGATCATCTACTGTAACCCTTCCCTGAGGCAGGATCATCCCTCTCCAAACCACCCTGTACAAATCTGTGATCTCAACTGTTAAGACAACCATCAACCTTGATCTTGCCCCAGCCTACCACAAGTAAAGCAGGAACTGCTACAGCCAACCTGCTTTATCAAATGGCAATAGACCCTCAAGTGATCCTGAACATAGGGCCAAGTTTTCCTTGGTGTGGGGGTTGACTACAGAAAAAGCAATTATCTGTGGCAGAGATCTCGGACCACATCAGCTCCGTCTGATATATCGCAATAGTCCTCGCCGGGGCACCACAGCACCCTGGGGCACTTTTAGATCTCTTCCAAGGGTGCCACCTGCCGTTAGGGAGCTTTGCAAGCCTGTGCATAAGAGAAAGCTGGAGATCTCCAGCAGCAATCCGCAGTTGGCAAACCCCCCCCCCCCAATCCCTGCTCTGTTCTCTTTTCTGTCGCTAAAAAGGGTCTGGAGGCTCTGATGCACTCATTTAAATCACTACAGACCCCTCCTGGAGACCTGTGGCTTGATCTTGTGGGTAAAATGGATCTGGAGGCTGTAATGCCCTGGTTCAAATCACTACAGATCCCTCCTGGAGATCTCCAGCCTGATCTTGTGGCTCTTGCCTGCACCTCTCCCTGCTTGTCCGCCCTGGAAGGGCCCCAGGGTGCTGCTATCCCCGGTTGAGAGTCCTCGGTGCAGAGCACGCGGCTCTTGCGGAGGCTTGCCTTGCCCTCCCCTCCGGCTGGAGCCTGTCCCCGTGCAGCTGCGTGGAGAGCGCAGGGGAGGGATCCCCGGCCGGCGTGCCCACGGCAGCGGCGGCGGGGGAACCTGCCACGTGCGTGCGCCCACGTGCGAGCCCCGCGCCACCCGGGGAGCCCGAGGCATGACGCCAGCCCCCGGGGACCTGGTGCAAGGACTGTCCTAGGGAAGGGCTTGGGCAGCCCACAGCAGGTCCTGGAAAGCAAGGCAAGGAGGGGGTTATGCTGAGAGCTTTGCTGCATGGAGAGAAGGGCTTGGGCAGCCCACAGCAGGGCAGGAGCCTGGGTTTTTTTCAATCCAGAGAGGGCAAAGGCAAGCTTTGCAACCTGCTCTGCCTCCAGCTGAGGCCAGGCAGGTCCTTCCTCCCTCCGAGGCTGGGATGCCTCCCTTGTCCCCTTCAAACACCACAGCCTTCTTCAAGGAGGTTTGTGGATGACAGCGGTGGTGGAGGGTGGCAACTGCGTGCCCTTCCTCTCGAGCTTGGTCCAGCTTGGAGCTCTTCTCTAGCCTTGTCCCCAGGGGGTTTGATTTACATGGGTATGCAATGAAGATTGGGATGGCGGGCTCAAATTCATGCCCAAGATCTGAAGCAGGATTTTCCCCTCTGTAGGGGGTAAGTGCCAGCACTTCTTTCCTTGCTTTAGAAAGGGCATCTCAGTTCCCAGGGTTTCTCCCTCCTCTTTGGGAGATAACACGTGCCACCATGCTGGGAAAGGTTGGAAAGCCTTGCCTGGGACCCTTAAAGAGTGGCATAGTTGACCAGTCCCCAGAGGGAGACTTTCATCTCCAAAAGCCCAACCATCAGTTTGTGCCAGGGGCCCTTGTGCAAGAGTGTTTCCAAGTTAGTCACCGACCAGCGCCGTGCCAGAACGATAATAAGATGCCATCTACACATGGACATCGATAAGGGGGAAAACATCATCTGGGAGCTCCTGGCTTGGATACCAAGGGAAGGTGGACAGAAAAAACTGAGAAGAGCCCTGCAAAAAAACCCTCATTCTTGATGTGATGTGGCTCTGCTAAATGTTGTTGCTGAGCTGCCTTTTCCATGCTGTCCCTACCCACAGCGCTCAGGGCATAGATGTAGCATGCAAACCGGAGTCTGCTTGTGAAATCTCAGCCCGGCAGCAATAGTACACAGACCCCAGCACCCGCACGTCTGACACTTGAGAAGTAAAAATAGTTGTCTTTGACTTATTTCATTTTTTTAAATGGCCTATTTTTAACCTGCTTTTTATTGCTGTCAGGCTTTTTTATTGGATTGGTGCCAGTATTGTTTTCTTCCCCACACAAGACACATGTTTTAGGGTTTTGTTTGGGTTTTTTTAATTACAACTTTCCACATTAGCTGTCTCTGTTTATTATCCAGGCTTATCGCGGGCAGCAGTGAAAGGTATTTGTGCCTGGCTTTCTCAGCCGCCCGCAGTTGTTCATTCTGGAGCAGAGTCTGACCTTTGTTCCATATAAATCTAGCAAGCCCTTTTTTGTACGCAGGGCAACAACCCTGCAATGTTGATCTAAAGGAGTCATTCCCCACATCTGCTTGCTTAGTTAACTTTGGCAGCTGTAAAGGTTTTGTAGGCAAAATAATGGGAAGGTATTTTCTCTAAGTGCCACAAATACGATAACCTTAATTTAGCAAAAGCGCGTGCAACACGAAGCCAAGCGGGGGAGTCAGTTGGCAATTGATATCTTCACCCCCTTGCGCACCCTGATGACTGGAGGGCTTTCAAAGTAAGTTGTCTTCTTCGTGCATGTGGCTTTGCTTAGGGGCTGCTCAGGGTTGGCTGAGACCGTTTTCGCTAAGAAGGCAGTTTGGATGCCTGGTTGCATGTTTTCAGGTCCCTCGTATTCTGTAGCTGCTTGGATATCTAGCATAGCCTATGATTCAAGCCGGCCCAGCCCCTTGAGTTCTCTCCCATTAGGAAAGTCAGGAACTGCATTGGCGACTTTAATGCAGCAATGTGTGCCTTGTTCTGACTAGAAGGGTATTAGCTATATTCAGAGATGCCAAGGTTGGAGGCTAATAAAGTATTTTTTATACCGCAGGTTGATTTTAAGTTGATGTTCGTCACCGTAACCCGTGCCAAGTGCAATAAGCAGAGTCGCCGACACTTAGCCTCCCGTCTGCGGGGCTGACGAGGCGTGTTAAATATTTAGTCCTTGGGAACTTTTCAATGCTGAAAGCAAACTACGGAGGACATAAAAGGAAGGAGCACTTAAGAAGATCCCAGAGCCCGAAGAAGATGGTAAGTGGATTATCTGCAATTAACTTGTTGCCTCTCTAATGTAGAGATGCAACACATCTGCGTAGAGAAATAGTGTGAGTGTTTATCAGTGGTAATTGGCTGCTTGAAATGTTGGAGAACTGCAAATAAGACCCACTGGTTCTTCCTTACTTTTTAGCACAGTCTAAATGATAAACCTCTTAGAATGGATCCTTTTTACCTCATCCAAGCTGTCTAAAAAGCAAATGCGGAGCGATCTAAATGCTCACTAAATGGCTTTTTAAAAATCAGCTCTGAATATAAAGAAGCTGGCTATGTTTTCAGTTGTAGGACCACAGTGTTGACTGGGTCATGCTTCTCAGTTGTGTGTAGTCCTTTTTATGATGTTTGTAATCTGTGCATTGGATTTTTCTCCCCTCCCTTGATTCGGTAAATGCTCGTGTGTGTGTTTGATTTCTCCGTGGCGAGTTTCAGGGCGATAGTTCTGCAGGAACTTCTTTCTGCCTTTGCAATTTGTGGGGAGAACATCCTTTTCTCCTTTCAGAAACCCTGTCCGACAGGGGGCTTTTGTAGTGCTCCCAGACATCCATCAAATTGGGGCTAGTTTGCACCAGGTCCGGGAAGACATCTAGATTACCAGCACCTCGCTGGACAAGACCCTGCCATGTTCCCCCTCTTTTACAGTGGGCCCTATGCAAGCTGCTGACGCCAGCTGTGCAGTTGGGTGCAGGGAGATCCAATAGATAGCATGGTCTTGAGGGCTTCACAGGTTGTACTCGACCTGATCGTCGACCTGGAGAGCAAGACGCAGCCAGCACGGATCCTGCAAAACTGGATCACGTGCTCCCAGCAAGATGCCCCTCACAGCCCCCTGCACCAGCTTTGGTTTCCACAGAGCTGTAAGGAGGCGACGTTCTGCGCAGCACGTTGCATCCTCGAGGTAACTGAGACCCGGGTGAGAGCGGCAAGGCGGGCATCCGGCAGGGAAGCCGCTGGTGGCAGAAGTCTAGCTGGGTTCTTGTGAAAGAACCACCTACCAGCCAGCAGGGATCTAAAATCCCTCCTGAGTTGTGAGCTCCAATATATGATGGCAAATGCTCCTCGGGGCTCCTCTATGCTTGGGGACTGCTGGGACTCTAGCAAGGGCAGCAACGTTTGATGTAGATGCAGCAGACTTCAGCAGCAGGAGTCCTTTGGCTGTTTGGATGATACACATCCTCCCCTTCAGCAAGCTCTGGCGGAGAAGCTAAGCACGTGCATGGTGCTTGGGGGATCGGGGCCTACAATCTCCCTGCCTCCCTTTGCTACTTATTTCTGCTCCATTCCAGACAGCGAAACCGAGCGGAGGGCGGCCCACCCCGCAGATGCCCAGGGACACTGTGTTCCTTCCCAGTCGGCTGATCCCTCGCAAGGGATCATGCCAGAGTCATGTGGGGATGCAGCATACTTCTGCAGGATCTGCCCTCTAAAAATAAACACCCAGGTTTGCCGCCGTCATTTGTTGGACAAACGGCAGGAGACTGGTAGCTGCTGTTTTCTCTCTTGTAGTCGAGGGGCCAGGGAAGGAAATCAAACCCCAACAGCAGCGTCTGGAATGGTACAAAGTAAAAGGCAGCGGGGTAAAGAAAGACCGAGTCCTTCTGCTCTGTTTCTTTCCTCTTCCCTGTGGAGCTGGACAGCCTGGGTGTCTCATTTAGCTCTTACCCCCTTCTCTGACTCTGGACTGACTCCTTTGCCTGCAGTACTTCTAGCAGCTGCCTGAACACTGCTGATGCGATGCTCCAGCCCCTGGCACGTGCAGGGGTCTGCATCTGGTGCAGATGAGTCAGGCTCTGGTTGCTTGCCATGCCTCGCTCACGTCTTTATAGCACTTGTGTACTGCTACCTGGTGAAAGGTTCCCATAGGAAACAATAATACTGCAGGAGCTGGGCACTCACCAAGAGCGGAGTGACCCAGCCAAGGATTTTGCAGAAGAGATAGGAAGTGTTTGTAGAGCCACTGTGTATTTGAAGGGTTGCCATCCTCTTGGCTGGTTGTTTGCTACCTGCTCGCAAAACTCCATTTCTCCCAACTGCCAGCCATAGTGTAAGGAGCCTGAGGTTTCCTTCTCACTTTCATTTTCTCCCCCTGCTTCCCTGAGCCTGCTTATGCAGAAAATGGGCCATCCACCAAACAATGAGCCAATCTATGTCGACACATGAGTGGATTCAAGCCGCGGGCACCCAGAGAGACATCCTGGTGTTTCTGGTGTACTGGAAGGATGTCTAGATGTTATTCCAGTCATGGTATAGCTTTTCTTGTGCAACAAAGACTTCTTGCACAGCTAGACATGCATAGGGCAGGCTGTCAGGAGGTGGAGAAAAGGCTGCTGAGCAGCTGGTGGAGCGCTCTGCTCAGCAGCACCCCTGAAAGAATTAGAGGCCTCTACTAAGGAGTCATCCCCCAGGACCCCCAGGGATATCCCCCCACCCCATGTGGTTGCTGCTGCCCAGGAGGCCCCGGGCTCCGCTCCAGTGCGGCAGGGGCCCTGCACGCATGGGGGTGGCGGGGATATCTCTCCTGTACTTTGTGCTCCTGGCTCGGGGCAATGAACCTGGGGCTCAAGTCAGTTCTAGGGTAAGGGTTTCTTCCTTGTTCTTTTCCAGAGACGTTTACACTGGAGATAGAGCAGTACATCTTGGGATGCTGGAGGACTGGCAGATAGCCCTCAGTGTATTCCTTGCTGCACATGCACGTGCATATTCAAGCTGAAGCGCTGAAGTTAGCACGCGTTTTCGAGGTCTAGCTGTTTATGGTGTGTAAGGTGCTTTACACGGGTGGCTGGTCTCAGTCCATTGCACAGTTGACCAGCTGATTGTGTAATAGCTGTAATGTGTAGAGGGGGCACAAGGGATCAGGGACTAAAACCATTGTGGAGGATTCAGCATTCAACCAGGTCTCTAAAAAGAGATTTGCAGTGTTTTGCTATGAGAGAGGTTTAACCTTTGGGAAGGCAAACAGTGTGTGGCAGATGAACCTACTGGTAGACAACAATCAACACCAAAACCTTGGACAAGTCCCATATCAGATACCAGGATGCCAGCCCCATTTGCTGATAGTGAAGCAGAGGTACTGGTTTGGCATTTGCTAAGTCCTTCTAGTGATTACCGCTCTCGAAGGCAGCCAGTGCTGAGGGAGAGAGCTGATTTTTCTGGGGTCATCTTTTTTTTTTCCTGTCCAGGGGGATAGCGCTCTTTGTAAATGCGGCCACGGGAAACGTTTGCTGGTGGTCTTTTGTAGTAGCCTACCATTGGGAAATGAAGCAATACCAGAGCACCGTGCTACCTGTATGGGAACCTGTGGGGGGAAGACAGACACAGAAATAGAAGTTGATCCATCCAGTGTCCGTAAGTGGGAGAGAAATCTCTTCAGTCTCTATAAACTTAGCTTGACTTTGGATGTCCAAGTGAAAGCGCACCTGATGTTCTCAAACTTGCATGAACTTGCACTCATGTCATGTTCCTATGCAAATAGCCCCACTGTTGACTTGCGTTAAGCATATCATTGAGAAGTGTGGTGTGGAGCGTAACACCAGCTAGCTCTTCCCGGGGTTCTGCTTTCAGGGAGTAAAAATAGCTCATGCTGTAACAGCATCTCCAGTTTAGCTACAGTATGGTGCAGTGCCGAATACCGGACCAGGCAAAACAAGGTTTGTCAGAAGGTTTGTTGCACAAAATATAAAGTAGGTCATTGCTGTCTGACTTGAGCAGTGTGCGTTAGAAATATAATTGAAGAGTGTCTCCTAAAGGATGCTCTACTTTTGCTTTGTGTGTGTGTGCAAGAGAGAGGAGAGACCTGGCCGCTGACTGCTGTACTCTGTTACTCCAGTACACACACCGCTGACAGCTAGTGGAGAATCTTGTTCGCAAGTCAGAGATCTGTGCCTGGGGGAAAGGGAAGTGGAGGTCTGTCCTTCCTGCTGTGATCACGCTCCCAGTGTTCCCGGGATGCAGCAGCTGTCACACCAGACCCGATCACAGAAGTCTCACAGTATTGTCTGCTCCAGTGGTGACATTTAGGACGAAGTCTGCTTTCTCTCTGGTAGAGCAAGGTGCTCGCCTGTGACCCGTTAGCACACCGAGGCAGGCTTAAATGCAGTTGTTGTCATCACTCATCTCTTCTTCTTCCAGGGTTTCTGAATGGTGCTGCTGTCCCTGCTGTCCTTTCTGATTTTGATATGGTGCGTTTGGACCAAAATGGCAGAGTCTCACCCGATGAAGCAGATCAGGTCAGAGATGGAGCAACGAAGTCCAGAACCGCAAGCAGCCTCTGAAAACAAGGAGCAGCCGTCGAAAGCATCAACGCGTGAACCGCAGGAGAGCTCAGTAACCCAGCCACCATCTGCTGGGACCGCGCTGGGCTTGGAGGAGATTGTCATGGAAGCCCATAAACAACCCGCAGAAAGGCCTTTACAGGACAAGCCTCCCAGTGTCCCTTCTCCCTCCGATTCACCCGGCCCAGCAGTTCCAGCCACCAGTTCCACGAGGCCTTTATCCCGCGGGTCTCTTCCTTCCTTAAACAAGCAGCTAAAGCCAGCGAGGTCCTTCTCCAGGGACGAGCAGGAGCAGTTGATGGAGCCAAGACAGGCCCAGCTCAACAGACAAGCCATGGCCAAGTTCGTGCTTGGATCTTTCGAGGATAACTCCTCCGATGACGAGGTTGTCTCTGGCTCCTTCAAGGTCACGAGCAGAAGAGGCAGCATGGTGAGCGGGGCCAGCTCCTCCTCTTTTGAGTCTTTCTCAGTGACTTCCCTCTTGGAGTCAGGATCTTTCTCCACCGTCATGAGGTAAAGAGCAGCTGGGTCAGAGCTGTCCACGTGGGGTGGTGAGGGACAGGGGAAATTATGCACTGTGCAGAACGCTAACCATTAGCCAAAAAAAATCCCACACCCAGCTCATCTTACTGCCAACCTTTTTTTTTTTTTTGTCTTTTCTGATTGATAACTTTTTAAAAATGGCATTCTTTTCTTTTCAATCTCTTAGCCTTTTTACAATGATCCACTCGCTGGTGTTTCAGTGGAGCCTTGCCACTGGGCTTCCATAAGGATGTCCGCAGGCGCCCGGCAGCCTCTCTCAGCAAAGGTTTAAAAGCAGAGCCCGTGCTGCATCGAGCTCTCAGGTTGCTAAAACAGACAGGGGAGACCGGGACCCTACTCAGTGAAATTGCACTTGTTGGTCATTCCCAATCAGTGTTTTATCACAAGTGAGAATTAATTGTGCTGCGATGGGCCTAAGAGGCCTTTTTTGCCTGTTACAGTACTGCAGAATGCTACGAATATCTTTGTTGGTATAACAAATTGACTGCAATTCAGTCTCACATCTGGTGGACTGTCTGGTGCAGTGACCAGTTTCCCCTCCACGCTTCAAGATGGATGTGGATGGATTGGAAAGAATCCAGCCGAGAGCAACAACAATGATTTGAGGCCTGGCTGCAAGACTTATAAGTAGGGGTCTACCCAACTCGAGGAGACAGGTGGCCCATTTCTCAGGGAGATCCCGGGGCCGGCCACCACTTTCGCAGGCTTATCACGGCGGGACCCCTCCATACCTCTGGTTGGCCAAGGGGCCCCTGCAGTCCTGCTTCTCTGCACAAATTGGCAGGTGGTCTGAAACTGCAGCTTAATTACCCTGATTAAGCCATTAACCCATGCATTATTAAGCATGGATTAATGGCTTCCCCGGGCTTAATCAGGGTAATTATGCTGCGGTTTCGGACCATCCCCAAGCTAACCATTCAAGACTGCAGGACTTCCCTCTGCAGTCCCTTTCTCTGCTTGATTTCTTATGATTTTGGTATGTCTCTCTTTACGAGGAAAAGCTGAAAGAACTAAGGTTATTTACCCTGGGTAGGAGAAGATTGAGGGGTGGGGATTTGATACATGTTTCACATACCTGAAGGGCAACTATAGAGAGGATGGAGGTGGGCCTTTCCCCTTGGCTGTAGGGGACAGGACTAGAAGTCTCCAGCTGCAGCAGGGCAAATTGAGGCTGGAGATGAGAAGGAACTGTCTGACTCTAAGCGGGGTCGAGCATTGGAACCGGCTGCTTAGAGAGGATGTGAAATCTCCAGCCCTGGAAATATTCAAGAGCAAGTTGAACAGACACGTGGCTGGGATGGTTTAGTCAGGGGTGATCCTGCCTCGAGCAAGATGACTTTCTGAGATCCCTTCCAGCCCTGCCTCCTATTTCTTGCAATTTGGGACCACACCTGACCGGGTAGCAGTGAGTCCCGCATTCTCCAGAGCAGCCTGGAATAGTTTCTCCCTGCTCCGAGCTCCTAGGGGGCTGAAAATATACCCCTGATTTCAGTAACAAACAGAAAAGTCACAGCTGGATTCAAATGCAGAAAATACTGCAAGATGCATTTTAATCCCTTGACTGTGACGAGGCAGGCAGGGGACAAATCACCATCGGGAACATGATTGACACTGCCCTGGCATCTCCCTGATTTCCTGATCACATTTTTCTATTTGTAACCGTATCTCTTCTCTCTCCTGCTTCTGGGTGAAAGACTCAGACCAACCAGGCAGGTGCCACTGGCTTACTGTGCAGAGAAAAAGGTGAAGTGACTGTACAAAGTTCTGTCCAGCGCACCAAGGAAATACTCTGGGAAAATAGCGGGTGATATAAGCTCATGCTCAATACAAAGGGAAGTTGTTGTGTGCTTTTGCCTGCCAGGTGCCTTCCAGCTGTGACAGGTATGCTTTGGTTTAGCTGTGAAATAATGGCAGGAATTACGGGCATGCTTTTTGGGCAGCTTCTACCCAAAGAATAAATGTTAAATTCTGATCAACCCTACAGATAGGGCCACTGCTTTTACAAATGAACCTAGTTACTCAGTGAAACGTTAGGTTACTTCCCCCCCTCTTTTTTTTTTAATTAGTGCACAGTTGCATTAATCAGGCATTGGGCCTAAATTGCCCGAGGTCTGGCCTTGATTTTGCTCATTGGATGTTAAGGATCTGGTTTTCAGTGAAAATCCTAAATGAATCCTAAACCCGCAGTCGGGCTGTGGGTCCTTCCTGCTTCTCTCCCAGTGTTGCCTTTGGAAATGGTTAGAACTGGTATTGTCCTCCTAACCCCCTGCAGAAAGAAGGGTTTCAAGAAGGGCAGCATGATTTAATCGTGCTGTGTTCCCCCTCATTGCACAACCCCAGCAGCCAGGTTCAATCCAGAAGTTTGCAGCAAACTTACACTGAACTTGCCATGTCAGCATAATATGGGCAGCTCCTGACAACATTCCTCTGCTTTCTGACTTGGTGAGTTCAATTCACCATCTACGAATATGCTGAAGCAGGTACCATTCCTTACAACCAAAGTGCACCTCTTTCAGGACTTGCAATAAGGTTACTTGGCATTGAGTTGGGCAGAGGCACAGCAGGCAGGGTCAGAGCTTGTGTCTTAACACCTTGGATAGGCAGGTGATATCCAGGGAGCTTGGATTCCTCAGCTCTGGCCCCAGCTTGGTTGCAAGCCCCCTGTGCTAGTCTCAAGCTTTTTGCTTATTCTCTGTGTACCTGGGTTCCTGCATCTATCAAGTAGCACCGGTGACCCTGATTGAACTTGCAGGTGGGGTTGTGAACGTCAAACAGGTGTGGCATCGTTTTGAGCTCCTCTGATGCAGTTGCTGAAATAATTGTGATTGAACCTGCAGCTTTTTCCTGGGCAGAGTGAGCTGCTTGTACTCAGCCCTGATCTGCACAGTGATTCTTTCTAGAGAGCCTTTGGCTAAGGCAGGGTGGGTTGCTGCACCAGTTGACAGCACTCCAGACACCTGGGACATCAGGGTGGATGGGCACTGCTTGAAACCACATGGCATCACCCTTAAAATGATAAAGGGGCCTTGCCTGGGGTCTGCTGTGATTGCAGATCAAAGGAGTCTCTGTAGAAGGTCTCTTTTTGGGCTGGGGGTGTTTAGGGTAGGGGAGTGATGAAAGTGTGTGAGATGTCAGAGGTGGTGTGGGGACAGAGGATAGGGTGGGATCCATGCCACTGCTGTCACTAAAGCCAGAGTGTGCTGGTCCACTGACCTTGGGGTGTATTGAAGGAGACAGTGCAGCATGTGCTTTTCCAGAATGCCGACACCAGGCACCCTGGAGTTGAGCCAGCTGCTGTCCTTCAAAGGCTGGGCCAGGCAGCAGGGTCTACCCTGGTACACTGGCTCTGTGCCATGGTGCTGAAGGTGACCTGTGCGAAGGTGGGCTATAGACTCTGATACAGGCTCCCACAGAGTCCTTGGGTTGGCATTTTGAGCAAGGGCTCCAGGTCTGGCCCAACCCTATTCATCATATGCCTTTACATGCCTCCTGCCTTGTGTGTGGGTCGTTGCTGATACTTTCATGCTCCTTGCCATGGTATCAGCACATTAAACGTCTCCCCTTAGCCAAGTTGATGTGAGAAGGCATGACAGCATATCCTACCAAACCCTTTACCCCCTTCTGCCCCATGTAGGGCCGGACACAGGAAGAACTTGCTCAGGATTTCATAGCTCAGCTGAAATGGCCTGGTCTGGTGGTGGGGTCAGCATTTGTGTATGCAGTTATACAATTAACGAGGACTTTTCACATGCACAATTTATCTACCCCTGGCAGGGGGGGGTCTTAGGCTGCAAGCAGTTCAAAGGCCAAGGTCATGGATGCCTCTGTTTATGCAGCATTCTGCACAAGGGAAACCCATGCATTGGTGGAAAGTGTCCACAATTTGTGTCCATCGACCTGGAAGGACGTGGGCAGTGGGGTCCCGCAGGACTTGGTCTTTGGACTGATACTTTTCAATGTCTTCATCAGTGACTTGGACAAGGGAGTGAAGTGTACTCTGTCCAAGTTTGCGGATGATACAAAACTGTGGGGAGAAGTGGACACACTGGAAGGCAGGGAACTACTACAGGCAGACCTGGACAGGTTGGACAAATGGGCAGAAAACAATAGAATGTAATTCAGCAAGGAGAAGTGCAAAGTGCTGCACCTAGGGAGGAAAAATGTCCAGCACACCCACCTCCTAGGGAATGACCTGCTCGGCAGCACGGAAGCAGAAAGGGATCTCAGAGTCCTAGTGGACTCCAAGATGAACATGAGTCGTCAGTGTGATGAAATAATCAGCAAAGCTAACTGCACTTTATCGTGCATCAGCAGATGCATGACAAACAGAGCCAAGGAGGTGATATTTCCCCTCTATCGGGCACTGGTCAGACCACAGTTGGAGTACTGCATCAAGTTTTGGGCCCCACACTTGAAGGGGGATGTGGGTAACCTGGAGAGGGTCCAGAGAAGGGCCACTCATATGGTTAAGGGCTTGCAGGCCAAGCCCTGTGAGGAGAGACTGGGGCACCTGGACCTCTTCAGCCTCCGCAAGAGAAGGTTGAGAGGCGCCCTTGCGGCTGCCTATAAGTTCATCACGGGGGCACAGAAAGGAATTGGTGAGGCTTTACTCACCAAGGCGCCCCTGGGGGTCACAAGAAATAATGGCCACAAGCTAGCAGAGAGCAGATTTAGACTGGACATTAGGAGGAACTTCTTCACAGATAGAGTAGCCACAATCTGGAACGGGCTCCCAAGGGAGGTGGTGCTCTCCCCTATCCTGGGGGTCTTCAAGAGGAGGTTAGATGGGCATCTGGCTGGGGTCATCTGAACCCCGCACACTTTCCTGCCCAGGGCAGGGGGGCGAACTCGATGATCTATTGAAGTCCCTTCTGACCCTAACATCTATGAATCTATGAATTTGGAGAGTGGAAAGTATCCAAAGCCACTTGAACACCACTGGCAGTGGGTTTGTGCAGTGTGCACCCTGG